ACCGTACCCTTTTATGTAATGATGTTTACTTTGAATTTATATTAGTTCACACAAACACTCCATCCATGCTTTTGTTCTGGCCCTCCGGTCCAATTTAAGAACCCATTGTCGCCCTCGAGTCAAAAAGTTTGCCCACCCCTGCTCTAGTGTCTCGGAGATCCGTCTGCCACAAGAACTATGATTCCCAGCATTCCTTGTGCTCCCCGCACTCTTGGTTTTCCCTTCCTGCTCTGTTTTCATCCCATGACCTCCCACTCTACCAAGTCCTCCAAGGCACCAGCTCTCCCTCTCTGCTCTCTGTCTGGTGGCTTGGAGAGCCAAGTTTCCCAAGCCATTCCACTCTCTGCTGGCTATCCCACTCTGTTCTCCGCCCGGCAGCTTGGGGGAGTCACCGTGGGAGCCACATCCCCCCAAGCCACTGACTCTCCCGATCTGCTCTCCACCTGGCGCCTGTGCATGCAAATCAGCCCGCCATCTTTGTCGGGTTGATTTGCATACACACTCCTGATTGGCTGGTGAGCATCGTGGAGGGGTGGTCAATTTACATGTTTCTCTTTTATTATATAGGATTCCTTTTATTTATTTTTTATCCTCACCCGAGGATATTTTTCCATTGATTTTTAGAGAGAGTGGAAGACAGAGGGAAAGAAAGAGAGAAACACTGATGTGAGAGAAACATATTGATTGGCTACCTCCTGTATGAAGCCTGACCAGGGCCTGGGCTGAGGAGGAGCCTGCAACCAAGGTACATGCCCTTTCCCAGAACTAAATCCGAGACCCTTCGGTCCGCAGGCTGACACTCTGTCCACTGAGCCAAACCAGACAGGACAGCACATTCCATTCTATAAAGTCTGAGATGCTTGGAGACTCAGTGCCTGTCTTCTCCCACTGGTGTCCTCGGACTCCCAGTGGCTGCCCACCTTCAGGCATTGGCCCTCATCCCAGGCAAAGGGGTAGCACATAGGACCCACCCCAGGCCTGCGAGCCCGCATGTCCTGTTGGAGACAGGTGTCAATGTTCACCAAGAGGGTGACAGAGGAGGACCCCATAAGTTCACATATTCAGCTGGGGCGAGAGACCCCATTGGTCCTCCTTGCCACTCTGTCTGGACGTCTGTATCCCTGGCCACCCCTGTCCCCTCTGAGGGGCTTGGGAAAGAGGACCTGCTCAGTACACTGAGGTGAGCGGCAAAACGAGAGGGGTTGGGACCAAACACACACACACACACACACACACACACACACACACACACAGCTGATGATCACACACACACACACACACACACACAGCTGATGATAAGCAGGAATCTCCTAGGTTCTCCAGACACACCCACAGGCCTCAGTCTTAGTGGCAGGAAGCAGAGGACGTCACCAGTCACAGGCGGATTTGCAAGAACCTCATCATCGAATCAGCTCCTTGGGTTTGGATACCTGGACTCTGGCAAGAGCCCCCATTTCTGTTCTTGGAAGCAAATGACTAAGACGCAGTCACTCTGGGAAAGCGGATGAGCAGGTAGAAGACACGTGGTCTTACATGACAAGAGGGGTCCCCACTCTCTGTGCAGTCACATGCAGGTCCAGGCAGACCTGACATCCAGCTCCCTGTCTCCCCAAAGCTCAGAGCTTTGCCCCTGACACCGGGACCTGAGACCTCGGAGAGGGTAGCTCACAGCTGAGGACATGGCTGAGCCCTGGGCTCCCCACGTCAGCTTGTCCTCCTGCCGGAAGGCCACCTGCGGGAAGGCGGACCTGGGCCGCACACAGAGCAGCCTCTTTCCCGGCCAGTGTGGCTCAGTGGTTGAGCATTGACCTATGAGGCACGAGTTCGCAGTTCAATTCCCTGTCAGGGCACATGCCCGGGTTGTGGGCTCGATCCCCAACGAGAGGGGTGCAGGAGGCAGCCGATCAGTGATTCTCATCATTGATGTTTCTAAGGTTTTCTCCCTCTCCCTTCTTCCCTGAAATCAATAAAAAAAAAATATTACAAAGAAACATACAACAACGTGGCTTCAGATTTGATGATGAGCTGATTTGATGATGAGGAGCTGATTTGATGATGAGGTTCTTGCAAACCAGCCTGGGAGTGGTGACGTCCTCTGCCTCCTGCCACTCAGACAGAGGCCTGTGGGTGTGTCTGGAGAAACTAGGAGATTCCTGCGTGTCATCTGCTTGCGTATGTGTGTGTGTGTGTCTGTGTTTGGTGAGTCAGGGCAGCTTTCGGGCCCGTTGCCCAGACACAGCTGTGTGCCATGCCCCATATTTGTCGTATCTTTGGCACCTGCGGTGGGACCACCAGCTGGAAGCAAGGGAATCAGCCACAGCCACGGAGCCAGCATGCAGCTCGGAGTGCGCTGGGGACAGACCCGGGGCTGCACTGGCCACGTCCCCTGGGAGGGAGCGTGGGGCCGGCACAGGGTGGTCTGAGAGGAGCCAGATGGACAGTCAGTGGGACAGAGGGGCATCCCCTCGGGGACAAACTCTACCAGCTGGGGCTCAGGTCACACTTGAGCCTGGAACACAAAGTCCCCCAGCTCCTCGAGGCTGGGGGTGGAGAGGACGAGCGGTGGCCCTTCCTGAGGCGGGCACACCCTGCATTCCCTGCTCCCAGGCCATCCTGGCCCAGCCCTGATGGGAGCCTCTCTGTTCTCCTCTGTGTGATGGGCGAACAAAGGCTCCGAGTCCAGTTCCTTCCCTTACAGGGTGGCTCCTAAGGGGAGCTCAGCTCACGTTGGTCCCGCCCTGCCCTTCCTCTCAGGGCAGAGTCTCCCTCCTGGCTCAGCCCCGCAGGTCCCTGCACTGGCGGCCGCGGGAGAGTCAGGGATAGGCACCCGGGGCCTGTCCTGTGGGGGCTCCGTGTCCTGTGCCCGGACCCTCCTCAGGTAGGAGCACCTGTCCTCTCACCTGCGCTCTCGCCTCCTGCCTGGCTGTGCCGTGCTGCCCAGAGTGACCCCAACTCCTAGGACCTCACTGGTCCAGGTCAGTCCAGGGAGGGCCTTTGTCAGAACAGAGAAATCAAAACCTAACTTGCCCCTGAGGGCACAGGACCAGACATTTGCGCAAAAAGTTCCCTCTTCTAGGACGCCATGTGGGTGGCATGAGTGGCCTGAGTTTAGGGAAGGGGTGGGGTGAAGCAGGGCCAGCTCAGCAGTTGCCAGGTGCCTCAATGGCATATAAGGCACCTCGGTCCTTGAAAGCATCACAGGAGTAAGACGGGCCGTGACCAGCAGAGAAGGTGACGGAGCTGAGACATGGACAACCCAGCACCAACTGGCAGGTACCACCCCCCCCTGGAGCAGCCCTTCTTCTGAGCCCCTCCTCCTGGCTCCCTGAAGGGACTTGGCTTCTCCCCGGGGGACCCCCTGCTTCTCCCCTCTCTCCTGATGGCCCTTCTATGCCCAGGACCCCTCAGCTGATGCCAGTTGGCCTGTCCTACCCGCCTCCCCTAAGCCCCTGGCTAGACTCTGGAGGTCACCCTTGAGGGTCCCTGTTTTTCCTCTCCCTCCATCTCCCGTGAAATCTATTCTTTCTGCTCTGCACTGAGGCCCTAGGAGGTCAAGTTCATGTTTATTTTTTTGTTTTTGTAAAGGACATGATTGTTTTCATGATGAGAAGGAAATGTGATGAGTTATTTGGGTAGATTAGTTTAGCATCTCTTTTCCCCGATGGGGCCACCCTTTCCCCTGATGCACCATGTGGCTCAGGTTAACCCGGAAGAGCAGAGGAAAGAGCACCACTGGGCCTGCACCTGGCAGGGCTGGGTCTGCAGGACAAGGGCAGGACGGTGATGCCAGGAGAGGCCCCCAACACAGCTCTGAGCCCCTGCACTGCTCCCGGGGGAACCCTGACAAAAGGACTGGGCTGACTTCCCCAGCAGCCCCTGAGGGGGTCAGAGTCGGAGGTTCGGTGGCTCCAGCTAAGTGAGTGGATGCCCATCCTTGTGGGTCTAGCTGGGATGTGGGTGCAAAGGGGAGGAGATCGGGGTGATCCCCAGAGGAGCCCCATGCCTTGCTTTCTCCTGCCTGTGCCCACAGACTCCTGATGAAAAAAAGAACCTTCAAGAGAAACTTCGGTAACAAATGCAAGAACCAAACATACCTGTGCTACAAGGTGGAGGTCTGGAAGGACAACATCTGGGCCCCAGTGGAGGGGCTCCAGGGCATTCGGCGGAAACTGGTGAGTGAGCACAGCAGGCGGGGCCCCCGGGACACTCGGGGAGAAGGTTCCATGCCCGCGGGGTGTCCTCTGAGCAATGTCCCTTGGCCCCCAGCTGCTAGGAGTTGCCCAGAGGCAGGGAGCACGGTCTCTGCTGTGATTGGCAGCTTGGAGCCCCACATAAGAAAGCAGTCACAAAACAAATGTGGATAAGCTTACACAAAACTGCCAAAGGAAGGCAGAGGAGGGTAGGTGGGAAGAGATCCACCATAGAACCTGTATGCATATATGCATAACCATGGACACAGACAATAGGGTGGTGAAGGCCTGTTTGGGAGGAGTAGAGGTGGGCTAGAAGGGGTCAATGGGGAGAAAGGGGGACATATATAATACTTTCAACAATAAAGATTTTGCATGAGTAATAAATAAATATGTAAGTGGCGAAAAAGAAAAAAGAAAAAAGAAAGCAGTCACAGTGTCCCAGGGCCTGGGCCCACCAGCCCAGTGTCAGCCCAGCCTCCAGGGTCAGCCTGTCCCTCCTGCTGTGCCTCTGAGGAGGGGTCAGGCCAGAGGGAAAGGCACCTGGACAAAGGGGC